GGGGGGGGGGGGGGGGGGGGGGGGGCTACAAAACAAAGATGAGGATCTGAGAAGCCGAAGCGACGAGACGAAGAGCATAAAGGCTAGATATATAGCGTGGCGCGGGCCGAAGAAGGCAGTGGCCACTTGTAGAAGCGGGAGAAACAAAGGTAGTCCGTGCAATGATGACGAGCAAAGGGCTCTACTTGGAGCTCTTCTTGGAGAGGAACGAGGTCTGAGACTGGTCGTACTCGTGATTCTGGTACATGAGGTGATGTTGCTGATGCTGCGGGCTCGTTGGATAGTGCAGATCCTGTTGCGAGGCAAATGGATTCGCCTGGCCGTACTGTGGGTACTGGGGTGCTGGCGATCCCTCTCTGTAGTATCCGGTGGTGGCGTGCATGGCGTTGACATTGGCGTTGGCGCCTAGATCGGGCGTTTGTCTGTAGTACTGCGTACCTCTGCGCGTCGAGGCATAGTTGGCCTGTTCCGACTCGAGTACGGGGTCTCTTGGTAGCGGTCTTGCCTCCTGCAGCTTCAAGCCGGGCACGAGTCTCGCCATGTAGCTGCCTCCGGCGGGCACACCTGCTTGCGGCATGCCGTGGTTGAGATCCAGACTTTCGTTCTCGAACTTTTGCGCCTTCTCCTTCTTCCTCCTATACATCATTCCTCCTACCAGCAGCAGGACGAGCGCCACAAACGCCGCGAGCACAATGCCGATGATGGTTGCCACCATGTTCTTCTGCTTAGCGGTTGCGTGGGATTTATCATCTTGACGAAGACACGTGGTGTTGCCCGAGGGGTTGGGCTGAACGATCGCCGACGCCGTGACCAGCGCGGTCTGCTTGGGGGTGGTTTGATCGGTCACGGTAATGATGGCTGTGGCATTGGCGATGAGGTCGACCGAGTCCCACGTGACGAGGTTGACGCCCTTGTCTACGCGCGCGCGGAAGACGAGCTTGTGAGAGTCCGAGTCGCGGCCTTCGATGGTGTAGTTGCCCTTGGCAAGCACGCGGATGTCGGCCGGCTCGCACGAGTAGAGCGCCGGCACGTTGATCAACGCAGCTGCAGCGAAAGAAGATTCGGCGACGGTCACGGCGAGCGCGCCGAGCGCCGCCCATGCAATCGAGTTGGCAAGGCGCATGGTGTTGGTCGCACCGACACTGGCTGAAGGTTGTTGAGAGTAGGGGACGGGAGGAGGGGCTTAGGGTAGGCGGAGCGAATGTAGTATGGTGGAGATGAAGGAAAGAGCAGGAAGAGGGGGGTAGAGACGATGTCTAGCTGGCGGATGTTGGGGGTCGCGAGACGCTGTCACGAGCTCGGAGATTGATGGAGAAGCGGCTAGGTTGCGGATCGCAGCATCACCCGGGTAAGGAGACGAAAGGCGAGCTGCAGCTATCGCGACTCGGCGGTGGGGGGTTGGAGGCAGTGGGTGGGTGGTTGGGTGGGCTTT